AGAAACCTAACTGAAGGAGTCACATAACTTCGGCCACGTCCAAATGCAACATTCATGGTGAGGATTCCCTCAACTAGGATTGGTTGGTTGTTGAATCTGTAAATGGGACCATCATACCGCTGCAACAAAGATGGGTCCAACCCAAGACTCTCAAAACAATGGAAGTACATGATGTCTGGTGCACTCCCTGTGTCAACAAGGACACACTGCACCTCACAATTGTTAATCATGACAGAAGTGACTAAAGGGTCATTATGAGGTGTGACGACTGTATCAAGATCAGCAGATGTGAAGGTAATGGGTTGATTCTTCCACTCAACATCATCAAGCTTTTGCTTTTGAGCTCAATTCTGATGCTTAACCTCTCTGACATACAACTTTCGCTGCTTAGAGCTCAGTCCACCGGCTTCCAGGCCTCCTGTGATCATGTGTATGATTCTAGCTGGTGGTGGGAGCGGAGGTGGGGTTTGCTGATATCCCACACCTTGCCGGTTTGGCGGGTTACGGACTCCTTAAGGTTGTGGCCCTTGTTCTCTAACAAACCGTGGCTGTTCGGCTCTCTGAATGTACTCACTCAACAGTCCCTTCTAGGCAAGACTTTCCAGCTCAGACCTCAAGCTGTTGCATTGCTCTGTTGTATGACCGTGATCTTGATGAAAATCACAATATCTAGTATAATCTCGGCTAGCTGCAGTAGTTCTCATTGGGCCAGGACACCTTAAATCCATCTTATTCTTGATCTGCATGAAAATTTGTGACCGCGGCAAATTAAAAGGGGTCTAATTAACAGGAGGTTTACCTTTAGACTGTTGTGGGGGTGTGGAGTTCGGCCTTCCGAATCTTGGTATGGGGATCCACATCGGACCTCGATTCTATGCTATTCTCATCCGCTTCCTGCTTGGGTTCTCATCTGTCCAGTCTGGGTTGTGGTTCCTAGAGGGGGCTGGTTTCTGCGACAAGGCATATTCTTTAGCAGTTATGAATTTCAATGATCTATCATTTACCTCGCTGAAGGTGGTGGAAGGATGTTTGAGCAGACTATCTCTGAATCTCTCGTGGCTAAGACCTGAGATCACACCTGTAATTCCCACAGCCTGGTCGAAAGAGCTAACCTCCAGTACTGCATCATTGAATCTACTCATAAAATTCTTCAAAGACTCGCCGTCTCTCTGCCTAACTCGCATTAGCTTAGAAGTGGTTTTCCTAATCAACTGTCAACTGGAAAACTTTGTGGCAAAAGCAGATGTCATTTCTGTATAAAAGCTGATTGACCTCGGAGGTAGACTGTAGTACCAGGTTCGAGCATTACCTCGGAGAGCAGAGAGAAAGATTTTGCACATCAACGCATCAGAGGCGTTCTGGGCTTGCATACAAGAATAGAAAGCATGTAGATGATCATTGGGGTCCTTCGTCCCATCATAAGTTTCAAGTTGTGGTATCCTGAAGCCATCGGGGTAGGGTTCCAATGTAATGTTGGTGTTCAGAAGGTGGGGTATGGAGTCAGCAGTATAGTGGGGAAGTGGGGCACCTCACTATTCAGCCACTAGCTTTTCTAAGCTATCTAGACGTTGAGTGACATCATCATGAAGGGGTTGCTGAACTGGTGCGATGTGAGATTGGCCCTGGGATTCACTAATAGCAGGAGCATGCTGGACTGGTTCAGGATTTTGTTGTGGAGCTGGGGGTTGTGGAGCAAGATTGAGTAGGTTGATGAATGGATCACCAAGATTGTTTCGAGCTAATAGTTGAGCCAGCACTAGCTGAAAGACACCAAACTGTTGTTGCATGGCAATGAGCTAAGCTACAACTACGTCTTGGTTGGCAGTAGAGGCTGAATTGTGAGACGAATTGTGTGGTTGATTTTCATCTCTTCCCTCTGCATGGTCAACGTGAGGGAATGTATTCGGGATTAGGGGTAGAGGATGAGGTCGAAGGTTGCTGGGGACCTGACCTCGTCTAAGAGGCTGAGATGAGTTTCTAGCTCAAACCAACCTAGTTTTAACCATGATAAGAGCAACAAGGGAGCTTTCAGTTTGGATTCCCACAGACGGCGCCAAATGTAATTGCACCAAACCAGATGTCCTTCTTCAGTCCGTATCTGCACTCCGGATTGACCTGCAAAGCCCCGAGGTGGATCATCGGGGGTAGACACTCCGATGCCTAAGTCAGCAATAATCGAGGCTACCTTTAAAGCGGAGAAACGAAGAGCTTAAGGTTGGTTTCAATTACCTTTTTGACGTGGCCCTTGGGGGGTATTTATAGGTTTCAATGAGGAACCCACGTGGCATGACAAGCAAGATATTCAAGATATGATGTGTATCTCCAAACGGTTATTTTGGGACCGGGAATTTGAGAGATACTCAGATACAAGGATGTCCATCGTAACTGTTGTGCGGCACATCATCAAGGATCAGGTGTGGGCATGCATACTATTGCAGCCATGCAGCTACTTGAGCGGAAATCTTTGGATTTATCCTTCACTTCGGTCATAAAGGAATTACTGTCATTTGTCCGAGGTTGGACACCTCGGGCCTGTCCTTACAATACTCAAATTTCTTATGAGAGATTTCTGTGATGGTTGACACATAGGATCCCAGTTTTTTTGCAAAGATGAACGTGTGGACACCTTTTTAAAGGCTATAAATACCCCCCAAGAGTCCTCCCTTAAAGATAATTGAAACCGACCTCAAGCCTTCTTTTGCTTTCTTTCTAGCAAACCTAACTGTTATTGATTTAAGTATCAGAATGTCTACCCTAAGGACCAACCTCAGGGTTTTGCAAGTTAACCAAAGAACAGATCTAAGTTGAAGAAGGGTTTTGAGTTCTTTGCAACAACATTTGGCGTCGTTTGTGAGAATCCGGACTAAAAGCCTCATGACTGTTAAGATGCTTAACACACGTTCAACTCAACACAGGAGGCCTCAACAAGGCCAAGGAAGAGGTCAATTTCCTAGTGGTAACCCCATGCCTTACATTGTGCCACCTTTTCTTGCCCAACATCAACCCACAAAAGGGGTGGGAGAGAATAACCCACAACACCCAGGTGTAGTCCCAAATGATGCCATAGCTGCCCAACTCAATTCCATGCAGTAGTAATTCGACGTATTTCAACTTGTACTTACATAACTATTGGCCAGAAACAATCCATGAGACCCCCTCATTACCCTATTGAACCCAACCAACCATGCAACAAATCCTCAACCTCAACAAAATGCCCACTTTCAAGTCTAAAGTGCAGGTCCATCCCGAAGTGAGTCCCAAGCCTAATCCTACATGGCACCTACGCTTTCCAACCCACCTTAAACCAGTCGCTTCAAATGTTTCCAAGAGATTGGAAAACCTAGAGAAGATGATAGCAGCAAACTGAAATGCACAGCCCCTAACTCCGCCTAGCTCAACCTCTATCCCCACTCCTCTTAACATCAATATCATCCAAAAACCATACCTATCTAGATTTAAAATTCCCCAATTCGACACAAATGATGGGACCAAGGATCCCAATAATCATTTGCATGGTTTCTACTCTATTATGCAGGCTCAAAATGCCTTGGATGCTTTGATGTGCAAGATATTCCCCTCCACATTATGTGGCAATGCTCAGACCTATTACTACAATTTGTGGTCGAGCTCAATCAATTCATATGTTGAGCTGGCGACATCCTTTGCCACTAAGTTCTTAAGTTGAAGGTTGATTAGGAAAACAACATCCAAGTTCATGCAAGTAACCCAAAAGGAAGGTGAATCTTTGAAAAACTACATGAACAGATTCAATGATGCTATGTTAAAAATTATCTCATTCAATCAGGCTGTGGGACTAGCTGCCATAATCCAAGGTCTCAAACATGAGAGATTCCAAGACAACCCGATAAAGCATCCACCCACCACATTTAATGAGGCTAATCAAAGATCTCACAAGTTTATCACAGTTGAAGAGTATACTCTATCTGGTAAGCCCACACCTAGTAAAGAAATCAAAAGTTCGACGTGGAGGGAAGAGGGGCAGAGTAGGAAAAAATTCAAAGCTGTACATAACCAAGGTCCACTTCTAACCTCCAAAGTTGGCAAGCCTAATCCAAGCACCCCACAGACCACAACAAGACAAATCACTTGGACCCATTCACATTGTCAAAGTCACAGATTATAATGTAGATTAAAAACAAGATGAAGCTTAGAAGGCCTCCACCATGCAAAGCCTACCTGCTTCTAAAGACCACAGCAAGTATTGCAACTTCCACCAAGATAATGGCCACACCACGGAAGAATGTAACAATTTGAAGCCCGAGCTTGAAGGCTTAGCTCGTAAAGGGATGTTGAATGACTAGATCTCAAATACAGATCAACTCAAGTTTGTGCGAGGATAAGGTCAACACTCCCAAGGACCTCGAGATACAAACAATAAAATCGGAGTCGGTTATCAACAAGCTGCACCTCCACTCCCTGTGCCAGCAAGAATCATTCACATGATAAATGAAAGGCTTGAGCAGGAGGAACAAGCTCTAAGCAATAAAAGTTGTACGTTAGGGAGGTTAAACATAAGAACCGAGCTCAGAAGAGGAAGTTTGATGATGCAGATTAGAAGAATCAACCGATAAGATTCATGCCTGCAGATCTAGATGATTTTGTTACACCACATAATGACTCATTAGTCACCTTAGTCATCATCAATAACTGTGAAGTTTAGCGTGTCATTGTTGACACCAAAAGTGCTTTTAACATAATGTATTATCACTGTTTTGAGAGCCTCAATCTCGACCCTACTCTTCTACAGAAGTACAATGACCTTATCTATGGGTTCAACAAGTAGACAATCCTTATGGAAGGGGCAGTAAGGCTCAATGTGGCATTCTGCTCAGGTCAGACATATGTTACCCCTTCAGTTTGGTTCTTAGTTGTGAAGATGGCATTATTTTTCAATATTGTCATTGGAAAGCCCACTCTGACCGAAATTTGGGCTGTTGTCTCATAGTCCCATCTATGCATGAAATTTCCAATGCATATGGAAGTGGCAACCTTGAGAGGCAACCAGGAAATAGCCAGACATTGCTATATGACCTCTGTTGCTTGACCTCAAAAAGACAAGAAGGTAACCTAACTATTAGAGCCAGCTTAACCCGAGCTCCCAAGTAACCAAGTGATGGGTGTGGAATTGTCGTACAATTGACATAATGATGAGGCTAGGGCTACTCCAGTAGAAGAAGTGGAAAAGGTGTACATAATGATAATGATCCCTCCAAGAAGACACAAATCCAAACAAAACTGAGTTCAAAGGAAAGGGAAGAGCTCATAAGCTTCCTAAAAGCAAATAAGGATGTGTTTGTGTGGACCTCAACTGACATACCTGGAATTTTGACCTCAATTGCAGAACAAAAACTAAGCACCAATCCCTTGAAGAAGCTAGTAGCCCAAAAAAGGTGCTTGTTTGGAAGGGAGAGGCTTCAAGCCATCAAGGAAGAGGTGCGGAAGCTCTTGTAAGTTGGATTCATAAGGAAAGTGGACTACTATGAATGGGTCACCAATTATATCCTAGTGAAGAAGTACAACGGTAAATGGAGAATGTGCATTGATTTCACCAACCTTAATGATGCATGTCCAAAGGACTATTACCCCATGCCAAGCATAGATAAGTCAGTAGAGGCCGCATTTGGAATGAAAGGCTCAACCTCTTAGATACTTACTCAAGGTACCATTGGGTCCTTATGGCACCTCAAGACAAGGTGAAGACCTTCTTTAATGCTGGTGATAATATCTATTGCTCTGTGATGATGCCTTTTAGGCTCAAAAATGCGGAGGCTACATACCAAAAAAAGGTAACAATTGTATTTCGAGCTCAAATTGGTAGAAATCTAAGAGTTTATGTAAACGACATAGTAGTTAAGAGCCTCAAAACAAAAGATCATGTGACCGACTTGGTGGAGATGTTTGGCAACCTGAGGAAGAACAACATGAAGTTGAACCCTGCAAAATGTATTTTTGATGAAGAATCTGGTAAATTTTTGGGATTCATGGTCTCTCAAAGGGGAATAAAGGTCAACCTTGAAAAAATTAAAGCAATAGAAGAGATGAAGCTTTCAAGTTCAGTCAAAGATGTACAATGCCTAACTCGACAAGTTGCAACCGTGCATAGGTTTGTCTCTAAGTCAGCAGACAAATGCCTACCTTTTTTTAAGGTCTTAGGATGCATGACTTAAAAAGATGAGGCAAGCAAGCTAAAGAAGTTTGAGTGGACTTAAGAATGTCAAAAAGCATTCGACGAGCTCAAAAGGTACCTCAATTCATCACTTATACTAACCAAAGCTGAGGAGGGTGAGATTATTTACCTCTATGTCGGGGTATCAGATACAACTATAAGTTCAATTCTGGTCAAAGAAGTGGAAAGACATTAGAAGCCAGTGTATTATGCAAGCAAGGTGTTGCAAGCAGCCGAGCAGAGGTACTCAATAATAAAGAAGGTAGCTCTTGCCGTCGTCACCACAATTAGAAAGTTGAGGTCATACTTCCAATCTCATCTGATCATTATCCTCACTAATCAACCTTTAAGGTAGATCTTACAGAAACCAAAATGCTCAGGTAGGCTTATCAAATGAATAGTAGAGTTGGGTAAATTCCAAACTACATTTCAATAGATGTTCGTAGTCTGAGCTCAAGCCTCTGTAGATTTTGTGGCATAATGCACCTTCACTCAAATGAACCCAAATGTTGAAGCGAAACTTCGGAATCTCTATGTTGATGGATCATCCAACAGTAAAAGGTTAAGTGTTAGGGCAGTGTTGGTCGAGCCCAAAAATTTATGAAGTGAGCATGCATTAAAGTTCAATTTTGAGGCAACAAATAACATAGCAAAGAAGGAGGCGTTGCTTCTGGGGCTTCGTTTGGCAACTAAGCTGAAAGTAAAGCATATTCAGATCTACAGTGATTTACAGCTTATAGTCAACCAAGTGAACTCTGCATGTGAAGTGATGGACCCTACTCTTACAAAGTATGTGGTTATGATTTCTCAAATGCAGAGTCAATTCAAAAAATTCCAGCTTACCAAGATCTCAAGGTTAGAGAATGAGCAAGTAGACTTTTTATCTAAATTAGCATCTGATAGTTCTAACAGAACAAGATCTATCTATGTGGAGGTCCTTAGTTAGTCGAGCTTCGAGAAGCTAATGGCGATGAAATTGACACTAACTTAGGGACTCCCAGCTAGGCAAACCCCATCAAAGCATACCTGCGAGGTGGCATTGTCCCGAATGACAAACAAGAAGATATGAAGTTGTAGAGGAAAGCATCTCGATATACTCTAATCGATGATGTGCTGTACAATAGGTCATACTCACTCCCTTTCCTCCACTATTTAACCCCATATGAGGCTGAATACACCTTTCGCGAGGTACACCAGGGTGTGTGTGGAAGTCACGTCGAAGCTCGGACTCTAGCTTATAAAGTGCTTTGGTAGGGGTACTATTGGCATAATATGCAGGAGGATGCAAAGCAATTTGTATAGAGACACAAAAAATGCAAATTCTTTGCACATCTCACCCATCAACCAATAGAGGAACTCACTAACTTGGTTACACCATGACCTTTTGCCCAATGGGGCATAGATCTTTTGGGTCTTTTTGTCAAGGGTGTAAAGGGAATGACACATTTAGTCATGGCTATTGATTATTCACAAAGTGGGTGGAAGCTCGGCCCCTCTCCACCTTGACCTCGAAAAGAATTGAAGATTTTGTTTCAATTTGGTCATCTGTATATATGAGATACCAAACCAAATCATTGCTGATAATGGCCCTCAATTCAATTGCACTTCTTTCAAAGACTTATGTTCCAGTTATGGGATTAAACTAGTGTTCACCTCAGTATATCAACCAGAGGCAAACAAAATGGTCAAATTAGTTAACAAAGCTATCTTAGAAGGAATCAAGCCAAGGTTAGTTAACAAAGCTATCTTAGAAGGAATCAAGCCAAGGTTAAATCAACTCAAAGCCAAGTGGGTAAACGAACTCAACAACATCCTCTAGGCTTACCAAACTACCAACCGAACAACGACAGGTACACGCTCATTTCTTTTATTCACTGTTTTACCTGAAGTCATAAATACCATAAAGCTTCAAGTAAACTCTAAGAATATATTTTTTTCAATTAGGCGAAACGCCTTATCACTTGGCTTTTGGGACCGAGGTAGTTATCCTAGTCGAGATAAAGGTCCCGAGCTTGAAAGTTAGTCATTTCAATGCAACATGAAGTAAGCAACTACTTAGGGAAAATCTTGATTTTTGGACGAAGTCTGTGAGCAAGCTCGACTTCACACCCTAGCATATAAGTAAAAGGTAGCCAACTTTTACAATAAATGTGTTTGATCTCCAAGTTTCAAAATTGGAGACCTCATCCTCTGGAAGACAGGGCTCATTGGCTTCGAAACTCGCTTTGGCAAATTAATGTCGAATTGGGAAGGTCCTTATGAACTAGCTAAAATACCTGACCCAGGCACCTATATACTTAAGGATGCCAAGGGGAAAGGGTTCCTAGGGTTTGGAATGTAAACAATCTAAATAAATTTTACTCCTAATAACGATTGCTCATTTTGTTGTTTGATTAGCTTCAACAATGCTATTTCGATTATTATTGAGCTCATTGAGATCATTTTACTTCAATTTTAAGATTAAGTCACACTTTAATTTCCAAAACCAAGGTTAACAGTCCAACCTAAATATTCAAAATCTATTCCTAATAAACGAATATATTGTTATACAACTATCATGTAAAAATACTGTTCTCAAAATACAACCAAAAACAAAGGATTTTCTAAGGTGAGCTAAATTACAAAGATGAGCTGCAGAAGTCAATCTATGATTTGGTGCTCTTGGTCCACTTCTTGATTTTGGACATTGTCCACAACCTCTAGATCACCAACAACCTTAGCCTCATCGTCCTTAGCTATAAACTCATACTCTAACTCTAGAGGAGAGACAATCCGCCCACTTTCATCTCGATTCCACTTTAGTTTTACCTTCAGACGAAAGTTAGCAGTTTTACTCTCTCCGTCCTCCTCCACTCCCCCCTCTTGAGGCTCGAATGTGATTGATGTCACATCTACCTCCAAATACTGGGCTTTTACCTTCTTCTTGCAGTCAATAAAAGCCAAAACCATGGTGGCAAGCCTATAGAGGTCAACTATCTCCAAGAATGTGCTGGACTTGACAAAGTTCGAGATGTGTCATTCCTTTTAATTGTGGACCTCAAGCTCCACTGCCTTACACACCTCTTCCAACACTTTGTCCCTCTTGTAGAGCTCATCCTTGCATATCTTCTTTTTCTTCTTGGCAAGCTTGACAGCTTTCTTCATTGATGCTAACTCCTCTCTCAACTTCTCGAGTTCAAAAGTTAAGCTATCAAAGTTTTGCTCAATTGACTTCTTCTATATGCTCAGCTTGTCATTCTCCTGTGAGAGCTTGTTACACTCCTTGAGGCACTTAAAATATTTAGCCGCGAGGGCGTTCACAAGATTTGCAGTCTGTAAAAAAGCTAAAGTAAAAAAAAAAAAAAGGAACAAGAAAGAGACAAAGAAGAAAAATGAGCTACCTCAAGGGTGTGGCGCATGACCTCAACCCCACCATGCAAGTCCACCTCAAGAAAGGTGGAATTGATGAAGTGCTTGGCCGCCATTCTACTCACACCTTCAAACAAGCTCGACCATTGCACTAGTAAGGGTACAGTGCTCTTTCCCTTGCCGTGGGTTATCACTCCCACTTCCCATTAAGCTGGATCAATTTCAACAAGCAGAAGGCAAATATGAATTCACCTTGCCTTGCTCTTGCTGTTGTTGCTACTCCACCCACTTCCTTTTCTGTCCAGTCGTTCCCTCTTGTTCCCTTGTAGGTTCAGCAACTGGCCTAATGGCTGAAGATGCATGAGTCCAAACTATGAGAGGTCGGTTGCTAGAAGTCCCAGCTCCGATGCGTTCCTCCACCTAAATAACCACGGGGGTCTATAACTTCTTCTAAGGAAGAATTCCCCCAGCACCAGCAAGCATACGATTTGTCTCCTTTACAAAACAAAGTAGTTTAAAATTGTATGTTACGTAATGGTAAACAAAAAGAGTTAAGCTAAACAAAAAGAGTTGAGCTAAACAAACCTTCACTAAGGGAGCTTCTCCCATATAGCTCGACAGCCTCTATCATCTTCGAGCTTGTTAAATGCATCACATCTAACACCTCGCCCCCCACCCTCACCAACCTCTTCACCTCTTCTTGTTCCCCCTCCCCTAACTTGTACTTATTCAAGTTAGCTTTCTTCAACCCCCATTTAAACAGAGCTTCAACCTCTGCGTTCATCCTCCCCTACTCTATGTCATCCACAAAAAAGTACTTGTCCTTCTAACCTTTGATTGAAGATGGTCTCGAGCTAAACAGGTTTCTCCCATCTTTAGCAACACGAGCTATAAAGTAGAACTAGCCTTTCTTCTTATTACTTCCCCCTTTGATTAAAAAGAAATGCTTAAAGAGATTCACCATTGGGATTACAACCCCTTGAATTTGGCAATACACGAGGAACACAATTGCCAACCGAACTACGTTAGGAACGAACTACGTTAGGAACGAGCTACGTTAAACCCAAGCCATACTCCCTCAAAAGTCCTACTAGCAGCTCAAGAATGGGGAACCTCAACCTTGCCCCCAGATAGTCTCCATACATGGGCATCCAATGGTCACACAGAACTGAGCAAGCTCTCTCCTCAACCCCAGCTAGCCTTAGCAAGATGTGTGAGGAAATTCCATAATTATCTACCAAGTGTGATAGGTCTTTCCTACTCTTCCAAAAGGCCTCGTACCTCGTCACTTCGGACATTATCTCCTCTCCCTTGTCATAGCACTTCAAGCTATTGTCATCCACTTCCAAAATATTAGAAGAAACCTCTACCCCCTCACTGCCTTCCCCACTTCCTCCACTTCTTGAGCTCTCCACCTCAGCCTCATCCAGCCCTTCCTCTATTTGTCGCACCTTTTCCCCTCCGTCAATACTTACTGTTTACTTTGAAGACATTTCTTCTATTTCGTAATTCTCACCACAAAGAGTAAGGGGAGGAGAATAGTTAGGATCTTCGGCAAACTCTCACTCACGCTCTATCTCACTATCTGACCTAACCCTAACCTCCCGAAGTGGACTTAAATATAAGTCTGAGAGTGTTAAAGGAATGTTAGACTCTTCATTTAAACTAGAGACAAAGCTCATGAGGGTTTACCTGGATCTCTGAAAGCTGAGCTACAACACTTAAGGATTTGGAGCAGATAGAAACTTGATTCTAACATTTAGAGCTCGAACCCAGTGTATTGTAGCTCGGATGTCGAATTGCTTTGGCACAATTTTGACAACGCTTCGCTATAAATTCAACAAGGTAAATGTGGAATAACTCAAGTGTGCCTATTTATACTAGGACCTCATTTCCCTCAATGGCCACAATTGCTCAAATCTAACGGTCATGATCGCGTCTTTCGAATTAGACAATTATTAGTGACTGCGCTTATTTATTACAAGACATCATACGAGGGCAACTGTTAACTCATCAGTCAATTCACTTTTCAGTTACACTTTAAAGGCTTATCCAAATCTAATGCAACTATCTTAACTTCCATTTAAATACATTCACACACATGTCATGATATGTTTACCTTGGCTTCGACCGTAAACTACATGACCACATGTCATTATACTTTTGCCTTGACTCCAACCATAAACTACATGACCACATATCATGATATTTTTACCTTGGCTCCAACCATAAACTACATGGCCATGCGTCATGATATTTTTACCTCAGCTCCAATTGTAAACTACATGACCACGTGTCATGATATTTTTACCTTGGCTCTAGCCATAAACTACATGAACTTGCATGATGATATTTTCACCTCAACTCTGGCCATTCACTACATGACCACGTGTCATGGTATTTCAACCTTGACTCTAACCGTAAACTACATGACCATGTTTCATGATATTTTCACCTCGGCTCTGGCCATACACTGTATCACCATGCATCATCATACCTTTACCATGAGCCAACCACATTTTATTCCCTTCACCCACAACCCTTATATCATTCACAAGTGAATGACTTCCCTGGGAGAGGGGGACAATGTGATGGTACTCTAAGGTTGCCTACCTTGGACGAGTTAAGTTATTACGAATGTACAATCTCGAGAAGCTCTTGAAACCAAGCGCAATGTGCTTAGTCGAGGTCAAGCTCATCCCCTTTGAACTTGCTCTACAGTAGCTTCATACATACTCAAATTTCTTATGAGAGATTGTTGTGATGGTTGACACACATGATCCCTGTTTTCCGCAAAGATGAACGCATGGACACCTTTTAGAAGGCTATAAATACCCCCCCAACAGTCCTCCCCTAAAAGTAATTGAAACTGATCTCAAGCCTTCTTTTGCTTTCTTTCTAGTAAACTTGACTATTGTTGATCTAGGCATTGAAGTGTCTACCCCGAGGGCCAACCTCAGGACTGTGCAGGTTAACCAAAGAATAAATCTAAGCTGAAAAAGGGTTTGGAGTTCTTTGCAACAACACTAGGGGCAATAGCCACTGGCACTCTCCAAACAACACATGATGAAGGGTTTCTCCACGTTATTGTCCTTTTTAATGAGTTATTTAGTAACTTAATATAGTCAATTATTTGATTTTTTTTTTTATTAGAATCACCATCATTCCATCATATCATTTGTTTTTTTTTTTCTCTTTTAACGTTGGAAGTGGGATTAGAACTCTACATCTATTAAATTTAACATAAGAAGTTCTTTATAAACAAGAAATAACCATTAAACCATGAAAATATTCTCATTTTTATTTTTAATTTAGAAGTTTTTGAAAACAAAAAAAGTCTAAAAGGTCTTAGATTAAAAGGAAAAACTCACACAATTAATTTTGTACTTGTCATGACAATCAATTAAACATAATTTATGAGTTTAATTTTGACATTTTTAACTTTATCCTGCTCTTATAAAAAAAAAAAAAAGGTTAAACAATTTGGATTTTACTGAGGAAGCTCATTTCTTCTTTTTGAAGGTGACAAAAATGAACTTTTTCTTTTAGATTTGAATCTACAATTTTATATTTATGTAGACATGAATTTTATAAATATATTATTTTTATTTCTATTTCATATGTTAATTAAGTAATACACCATGAAATTTGATGTTAATTACTAGCTGGTTTGAATGATGGTATGCTAAAAGAGCATGTTAAAAAGATTAATAATTGATATTTTCTTGGTGAGTCTATTAAATATAAAGGCGTGATATCCTTTTGTTGTTAACAAAAAAATTCAATCAATATAGACCTTTAAATCCTTTTTAAATTTTATTTTATAAAATTAGTAGACTAGAATAATATAAGACTGTGTAGTCGCATACTTTTATTTAAGGATTCTATTGGTCAGAAACCAGAAACGCATCTGAATTTTTAATTTTTTTCTCAAAAAATTCAACCACAAGTGTACCCTAGACCTGGCAAACAGGCTGGTTGGGTCGGGTTAGAGTCGAGTCATAACGGGTAACAGGTCAAAACGGGTTGGGTTAAAACGGGTCACGGGTCAATGAAGGCAGACCTTAACCCACCCATCACGGGTCACGAGTCAACCCGCGAGTTGACCCAATTAAATTTTTTTTCTTTCTCTATAATTTGTATCTATTATCATTCAAAGAAAATTATTCAAAAGATTTAAAAAGAAATTCAACATCTTATAAAAATAATTTTTTATTAATTTAATATATACATATTTATAGTTCCTTAGAATCACCTTCTTTATTTCCCTTCAAAGAACAACGCTAATCAAATTTAAAAACACAACACTTACAAATCTCAATAGCAAAAAATAAAAAATAAAAAATAAGCAGTAGTAGCATGACAACCAAAAAGCACAAACGTCATTGGAACATATTTGTTTTGGTCATTGCTTTCAAAGAATATTCAATTGAATTCATCTAAGTAAAGGAGAAAATCAAGTAAAATTTTTACTTGGAATGGAAAGAAAACTAAAAAGCATAAATAAAAAAACAACTTACCTTAAAGTATTTAGAGAGAAAAGTTGGTGACAAAAAGAACACTTGCCGAACTCATAGGAGAAAAAAGGAAAAGGCTAAGTGGACGCAACGGTGACTCGACAAGACTAAGATCTAAGTCTGAAATAATGTTAAAGACTAAAGAGAAAAGGTGGAGTCAAAACTTAAAAGTCAAAGGCTGTATGAACTATGGAGGTTGAAGAATATGAGAAGAGTTTGAAGTTTGAAGAGTTAGAGCCTTCGAGAGTATTAGGACAAGTAAGAATAAGAAAGGTTGGGAGGTGAGTTATGAGTGGAGTGAGATTATTTTTACTTTTAGAAAATAATGAGTCAAGAGAATCAATTAGTTAATTAGGGAATATTAGTCAATTATTAAAGTTTTAAGTGGGATTGGGAATTGGAAAACAAAATAAATAAATAATGAATTAAAAAATTTTATATTTTTAAATGGGTAAACGGGTCAAACTCCTTAACCCGATGGGTCAACCCGTTATTGACCCGTAACCCGTTGGGTTCTCTTAACGGATCATTAACGGATCACGGGACATAAATATATGACCTTAACCCATTTTAAATGGGCGGGTAATGGACAGGTTAATGGATTGGGTAAAAAATTGCCAGGTCCAGTGTACCCCCTTTCTCAAGGAAAAATATGAAAAGAAATTGGGACATAAATATGGGTTTCTTTACTTAAAGAGACATTTTAAGAATCCACTGATTATATTATATTTTAATAATTTATATAAAAAATAAAAATTAATTTTTTTACATTAATAATACAAATACAATTTTAATTAAGTACTTAAAAATTAAAATGAATTTTTATTTTTTTTAATAATTAACAAAAAAATATTATTAATATCTTAAGAGTATAAGATAAGAAAACCTTATAAATAAATCAGCTTTAAAAGTAACTCGGGAGTTGTAGACATTAATAAATAAACTTCATTTTATAAATTAAAGTTAAAATTTAAATTTTAAAATCAATAGTTAAGATAATTAATTTTTTTAAATATATTAAAATAATTTTAAAAATACACATTTAAAATTATTAAAAATAATTAATTTCAATATACCAAAAACTGAATTAAACACTCAAACTATAAAATAAAATAAAATAAAAAAATAAAAAAAAATAAAAAAATAAATAAACACGAAAACTATATTTATTTTAATAAAATAACATTAATTGGGGAGGGGGGGGGGGTTGGTGATTGGTCGAGAAGCTGGAGATCAGTCGAGGTGACAAAAAGAAATTAAAAAAGAGACAACCGGTTGCCCATTCATCTCATTAAAAGGTGTGCAACGTGGAGAAATCATGAAGCTGCTGTGACCTGAAGAGTGCAGTGGCGAGTGCTCTCAGCATTGCTGGTGGTATTCTCTCAACCGAAAACGATTCAGAAATAATTTATTTCTATGATTTTTTTTTATAATTTTATATATTATTTAAATAATAATTTTTTTATTTATTTAAAACTCATAATATGAAATGTATTTATTTATTTAATAACATATAAAAATTATATAAAAATATTATATAAAAATATTATCTCTATACATTATAATTTTTAATCTATTCTACATTTTAAAATCAAAAAAAAAAAAAAAAACCCTAAAACAGCATTAATGAATTTTCATTTATCTCCAATTTTATAAAGGGTATTTTTGCCTTTCTCAACTTCAAAACTAATGCTTTTAAGTGCAAAGCACACGGTAAAAACAGTAAAATTAATTAAAATGCTTCATTAAGTGCAATTACGTATTTACTGAAGATTTAAAGTCTATTTTATAAGATATAAGAAAATTCTTTTTATAAGACATGATTTAAATTCTTACTATATTTACTTAATTAAAATTATAAAATTAACTAGGCTCTAAAGCCACACTACACGTGGTTCGTGTTATATCTTTTTAATAATTATTAAATATAATAATAATGATTTACAATTGAAATTAATTTTTAATTAATTAATATAAAAATCATTTCAAATAAATATAAATTTATTATGCACTAGGCCTAGAGGCCCAATGACACTTGCCATTGCAAAGTGTATTTCTCCCTCTCTCGGTGGGTTTCGAACCCGCTCATGTCCAAAAGTTCAAAAAAAAAAAAAATTTATTATAAACAAATATTTAACGTTTATATCAATTAAAATTTTTTAAGAAAAACATGAAGAGCAATTTATCAAATTTTCATTAATTTCTTTTATCTTTTCATTTATCACTATTATATGTTTCTTTTTAAAAAAATCATTAGCATACTCTTCCATTTAACGCGGCTATCAACATACTAAATTTGAATTGAAAAGAGAAAAACTTAAAAGTTATAAATTTAAGTCGAAAGTTACAACTTTTTAATATTATTTCACCGATACCTTTTTTACTTCTATACCATTAATCATATCTCTTATTAGTTTTTCTTGCAATACTATTTCTTAATTTATCCCCTCACTTTTTTTCACTCTAAACTATATATCCTTACTTTCTCTTTGTATATTAATAATTTGTTGATTATTATTATTTTTCTCCTTATCCTCATCTAATATCATTTTTACTTAGTCACCTTTTGTATCATCATTTATCATTATATATCTTTGAATCAAATTT